TAGTGGACATGTACATACATGTACTGCAGTCGTTCAGCAATTCTATATGGGAAGTCTCATGCCATGATTGCCAGATGGCTCAAGGTGGTCAGGTGTAACCCGCTGATGAACATTTACACGTTTCCGGTGATGTACATGTACATATGTCACCATGTATGTACATGTACTATTAGTACTTCTCCACAAATCATGGATTGCAAAACTCAAGTCATTTCAGTAGTGGGATAATCCGTTGCTCGTGTAGACAGACTTTCATGTGGGATACAGCAGTGACGTTCCATGACTCCTGAATGCAGATAATTAAGACGAATCCTTGTAATCAGTGCCATGCTGAAGATCAGGGATCCACTAGTTGATGCACACTTGAAGACAATTGCAGTGATGTCAATATCCATGGTACACACATGTACATGTACCAGAACATTTACACATACGCCCTGTGACTGGAAATTGTGGCTCAGGGTCAAGTTTGAATCAGGGCATCCATCGACCATTCCAAACTGATGTGGCTAGCAGTAACATGTACACATATGTGCATCCTGTGACTTGCTATGCTGACATATGTACATGTAGCTGGATGACTGGTATCCTGCAGGGTGGATGCGGACTTGAGGGGAGATTGCTACATGTAGGCTTGATCCACAGCTGATAATGTGGTGGATACCAGTGATGATGTCCTGCCACTAGTTATGCCAGCCATATACCGGTGACAGACAGGCAGTTGCATTGCTCAGTATCCATCTGACGTTGATCAGCTCTTTCATATCTTACAGGTCCATGTTCACATGTGGCAGTTTTGAGCCAGCGATGATGGTAACTCCTCACCGTACTAGGCACAGTAAATACAAGTTTCTTGAGTGCTTGATACTGCAGGCGCTGTCAGCTATAAGTCTCAGCCAGCCTGTGTTGTTGCAATGTGGACATCTCCATTTGCTGTGACAGTATAGAACCTCCCTCTAGCCAATGTCAAGCACAGTTGACAATGTCACTGAAGCTGTACAGTGTACATGTTCTTGTTTCATCACAACTGCAACAAAGAACTCTCTCCTGTCAGTAGTGGCACCAACAAGTAGACTGTGACAGGGCAGTCCAGGATCATGAAATCTCTCCTGTCAGAGGTGGCACCAAGTGGATTGTGGCAGGGCAGTCCAGGATCATGAACTCTCTCCTGTCAGAGGTGGCACCAAGTGGATTGTGGCAGGGCAGTCCAAGATCATGAAATCTCTCCTGTCAGAGGTGGCACCAAGTGGATTGTGGCAGGGCAGTCCAGGATTATG